AGCTTCTATTATTTGTGTTTATTTAGATTATTTGAAGTACTGTATCATCTGAAATTGCAGACTTCTTCTCTTCCACAGACCCTTTGCAGAAATCTGTAGCCAAGCTTGTAACACAGGTAGGTGTTTGAGTTTCCTGTGTGAATGGAAGCAGGGCGCTGTGCCGTATAAAAAGTTTAAAGAAAAAACAACAACATTTGCTTGGTGTCTCCAGTAGGAACAAACGCCTCCACCAATCGACGGAAGCGCAAGAGAGTCCAGGAGAGCAACCGAGTACCTGCCTCCTCTGACCTGGGGATATCAACCAATCAGATTCCAGTGATGGTGAGATTGAAAGTGTGACCTGAGATCTGTGCACGCAGGGTTGAAGCAAACAGGGAACAGTTCTCGTGACGTTCTATATTTGTACTATAGTCAACGACAACAAAAACAGACAAACCCAAACCAAACGAGTTGAGCCTGCTATTGCCATCATGTTTAATAGTTGTTCTCAGTAGAGAGCATTAATTATGCATCACTTTAAACCTTAATATAATTTATACTGATGAGTTATGTAGAATTTAGCTATAGAGACCTTTTTGTAACAGGCTGTAAACATTTGGCTTAGGGTTTAGGGTTTAGGGTTGCATTTTAATATGTGGCCTTGCAGAGATTGACTCACTTCTGTAGCCAGCCTCCTGTGGCCGTTCAGGGAACTGCAGTTTCTGGAACGTCCATGTTAGCTTAATTTGCCGGCCACAGAGTTTGCTGCATGGTAGGAACCCAGTGGGGCTTTGGGGGCTGACTGCTCGGACAAGGCAGGGAGGTTAGGAAGCACTGAGAGATGGATGGGAATTATTATATAATTATAGAATAATGTCAGACTTACCCTTTAACAGTACATCGACGCTTCTCTTGAAATGTGTAAAGGTTATAATAATAGTTGAAACGTTACAAGTACGGTTGCATCTTTGATCAGAGTGTAATCCAATGTAATTCCTTCGAGCTAAATGTCTCCATGTAAACACACATCAGTGTGTTTAACTGTAATTACTGAATCCTAATATTAAAACTGCGTTTTGAGGCAAGGTCAACAACCTCTTTGTACTAATGAAAGCATTTTCTCCATCATTATGACTGACTTTTCCTCTATCATTGTCTTTGTGTGTGTGTGTGTGTGTGTGTGTGCGCACGTGCCTGCAGCAGTGGCCCATGTACATGATGGACTACAGCGGAGTGAATGTGCAGATTCCCGGGAAAGTCAATTACTGAAGGACAAACCTGGACTGCAGCAAAGGGATAAAAGGAGGAGTTTGTCAAAGCGATATTCCCGACTCTTCCACACGCGACACTAACACTTTGTCAGAGTGCTAAGACTAAACAATCTCTCCAGACTGAATATAGAGAACTGAAGGTTTGACTCTGTGAATGACGTCCTGAGTGTTGAGGAACAACAGAATGTACGTGGATCAAAACGTTGCAGGGCAAAAATCTTGGCTTGTTTTCTGTCTCCTGCCTCCACGCAGTGCCAGCAGGACAGCTGTCAGTTTTGGTTCTCCTCCTAAAGCTGATCGCGACAGTTATATTGTTTGTTTTTTTACGAAGCATAAAGACATTACTGAAGTCACGTTATTTGCCCTTGCATTTACGAAGTGTCCATCCACTGAGTCATGTTGTCGGATCCAGCATTCGGTTGCAATGTATTACTGACAAAAAAAAAAAAAAATGTCTTTGATAACGATCTGGTTCCATAATATTCAGATATTTGTACTTTTTATTTATTATATTTATTGAAATATAACATTATGTGCAGGGATGTAAAATACATTATTCTGTTATACGGCTCCTTGAGGAACTATCACAGCACTAACACAGATGCTACTACTCACTCAGTAACTACAGGTAAGCGCTGAAATCAAATTAAACAGCAGCAATGAAGTGTCTTAATTGGGTGTCGGGGCGATCGCAAGCCATCAGAAATTAAAAGGAGACAAAACGGAAGTTTGCCTGACGGGTAGAACCTCTGCTTTCACAGCGGCAGGAAGTACCTGCAGTAAACACACGAGACCTTCAGCAAACAGCCTCATTATGTTAGCACCACATTAACAATATGTAAAATATCTCATTTAAAGTCAGCCTGAATGTATCATGTAAAGGAAAGAATGGTATGTTATTCTGCAATGACTGTCTCTGGACTAATATTTAATATGCTGTACCTTAACGCCAATTAGGCCTTTGAAATAAAATGTGTTGCCTTGCACTTTCATTTGGTTGGAGCTTGTTTTTTGACGTGCGGTACTGCGGCGGGACGTCTTCTCTACGGGAGGCCGTCTTCACTGCAAACTTTGTGTCTGTCTGTTATATCGTGGTCAGTGAAGCTGTGTACAAGATCCAATGTAAGCAGGCTAACTTTTTCTTCTTACAGTAAGAGTACTTTTGCCTCTCCCTGCCAAAAAGTTGATGACCCATGTAGCATGTAGAGTTTGTCAGTCCTAGTATAATGAGTATGATAAGTAAAGATGGAGAGCTGCAATGATTAGTCGATTAATATATATTTTTCATTTCATCTTCTCAAAAGTGAATATTTCCTGGCTTCTTTAGTCTCCTGACAATAAACTGAATATCTTTGTGTTGTGGATAATACATTTGAGGAAGTCACCTTGGTCTTTGGGAAACATTTTTCACCATTTTCTGACATTTTCTGGACCAAACAACTCATCGAGTAACTGATAAAAATCATCAACATAATTAATATTGAAAATAATCGTTAGTTCCATAATTATTCTAACAACCCTGCTCACAGACAAACTCAAACAATTTCTCCTTTAAAGTTTGGTGAACTTCAGTTATCTTGTCGTCGACATTGTAACCTTGAAGGAAGGATTCGTTGCAGGACTGCTGCATTAGACTGCACTAGTTTTATCTGGCTGGCAACTGACTGTACGCTGCACTCCCAGGAAACTGTCTCTTTATCAGCGTTCAGTTGGATCAAATCCACACACAGTACCCTCGCTGAGGTCAGAGTGCAGACCCCCCTCGGTTCCCCATCCTCCAGCCCGCGTTTCTCCCCCATCATCCATCACTCTTCACTTCCTGCTCAGGTACTGCTGTGCACTTACAGAGTCCATTACTACAGAGATGAAGTGAGACTCCCTGCCAAGTGGTCATGTTCTTTTCTTAACGGTTCTACTACACGTAAATGTTTGAATGTTTAAAGACGCATTTATTCGGCGGGAAGAGCCGGTTCAAGCCCCAGCAGCTCCACCGAAGACGCTGATGGGAAACTCCCTTAACCTCACGCACAAATCGAGATTCATCGTAATCAAAATGTGATCACAGCGGTGGAGCTGTTGGGGGAGGCAACCGTCTGATTGTTGCCTCTCTAGTCAAGGATACTTGTTATAGAGAAATGTTTAAGACACGGGTTCCCACAGTAGGCCAGCGACCTTTAACTTGAATTGATTCTTTTATTTTTTAGGTTTCATGATTATAAAGCCTTCCTCGTAATGGTCATGGCTGTTCACCAGAAAGTGCCCCCCCCCGCCCCATGTCTCCTGTCTGTCTCTCTGGGCCTCTCTCCCCCATGTCTCTCCTCACCTCCGAGGAGAGGTGCTGTGAGAAAGACAAAGGCCTTCTGTGTCTGTGTGTTGTGGGTGTGACTTCTGTTCTGGCTCCTGGCTGCCCTCCTCTGCACACCTGTCTGGAATCATCCCCCCCCCCGTTGACTCACCTGCCCTGCATCTGCTCGTCGGCTCAGCGCCTCAGCCCCCCCGCTCAGATTGTTTAGTAGCTTCAGCGATAATGTGCTTTTCAGGCTTCCTTCGTGTCCCAGACTTTCAGAAGTATTTTGTTTCTTGTGTAAAACTCCTGGTTAACAAAATCAGCTTCAGGACTTCCACCTCACCTGCCTGCCCACCAGCTTTCCACCAACCAGCCACAGTAAGCTGTCCACCCTTTCTCCTCAACCCTTTAATCATCATCATCATCATCATCTTTGATCAATCTACCATCATTATAAAATACCATCACTAAAAACAGCCAACCCTATCTCCTTCCTTGATGTTCCAACTGGCAAAAAATATTTTATATTCTATTCCTCCTTCATCTGGGGTCTCCATACACCCCACTCAAGGACCCCTGTTGGTCCTTGGACCTGAGTTTGACAAACACTGACTTTAGATACAAGCAAGAATATGTATGTTTTGTTATACAGAGAACTGTACCAACAGAGTTTTACCATTTCAGTTTATTTTAGATAATAAAGGACCAGTGTGTGGGATTTAGTGGCACCTAGAGGTGAAGCTACAGACTGCGAGTAACTGAAACTGCTCGCGGCTTTATTAGACAACCTGGGAATGAGAACGGGCTGGAAAGCGTGTATATGGCGGTTCAACATGGCAGACTCCACAGAAGGCGACCTGTAGATGGAAACAGCTCACTCCAAGGTAACGGAAACACAACAACGCCTATATTCAGGTGAGTATGCACTGATGAAAACATACCTATGAATATTATATTACATAGCTACCAATAGTTTCTACTAAATGTTACACACTGGACCTTTAAGCTTTACTATTTTGGGTCCAGTGTACTAAAGCACTGGCCTTCAGTTAAAGCAAACACTCAGATTTTTGTCCTAAAACATCGCCTTGCTCTTGTTTTATCTTATTTTCTTAGATTTTTACAAATCGGATTGTCTTTCTCTTCTCTGGAGGTCAGGACACGATTAGGTGCCTATCAACGAGATGATGGTTAATCTATAACGCTATAGGCAACTATGTAATGAGCGCCATTAGCTCTGATGATCACTCTGAATGGTCATACAACAGCAGAGTAATATGAGGCCATTTGGGAAGACCAGGAGCACTTCTTGTTTAAACCCTACAATATTCCCTTCAATATTCAAGGCTCATAAGCCCGGCATTAGGGTTAAATCACACTTTTCATGATCTTCACCGCAGCGTTGTTGGACGTAGATCAGCATCTTCGTCACCGTTCTTCACAAAGAAAACTAAACATCAGAGTTTCAGGATTCATTTTGCTTTATTTCTGTATTTATTGCAGACTTTTTTTTTTTTTTTTTTTTCAGTTTTGCTTGTATACATGTCAAGACTCAGTTCAGCAACTGTACTGCAGTACTGTGAGCAGAATAATGCATGTGAATACAGGAGGTGAGTTTGCAGCCGGCGGGAACATCAACCCGCTCGCCGCCGCTTCACGTGTCTTGTTTAATCAAGACGAGTTCGATGACCTTGATTGTCACACTGTAAAATGTTCTTTACCAGAGTTTTTTTTTTTCCTTTTTTTTTTTTATTAATCTCAGCCATTTTTTCCCCATCTGTTTCAGACAAAAGGATTGAGGTCGTCGAGCTATATACGATGTAACCTTGTCCCTTCCCGCGTACATGGCAACACAAACTAACATATTAAGTGACATAAACAATGGCTGCAGAACACCCCGAGGCTTTGTTACTGCAAAGTCAAAACATGAATAAATCAAAATGTGAGTGCATTAGACATCTGCTTATCGAATTAGGGCTAGGGAATCAAATAGAACAGAAAGATGGATCAAATTAGAAGTAGTGTTCAATGTTAAAAACTTTACTCTCATTTGTCATTTGTGGACACAACCTGTTTGTATTTGTTTTTTACAATATTCTTGTTTCATGTTTTTTTTTTATTTACATTAGTACAAGTATTGCCTCTTTTCATCAAATAGGCTAATATATACTCACTTTGCTTCTAGACGTTTCAGTGTCTTCGTGCGCAAACCGCCAAGGTTTTTTTCAGCAGAAACACTTTTAATTGCATAACCTCCCCAATTTTAAAAACAAGTTAACTGCCCTTTAAAAACCCCACATCTTGTCAGCTAAATGCACTGTCACAACTAAAGTGCTTAATGAGATTTTCATCCCCGATGCGAGCTGCCATTCTCACGGCAACTCGACGCGGTGGGATACAGATGAGGCTCTAAACGGGAAAAAAAAAAAAACACCCCGCCCCAAAAACAACAAAAAAAAAAGCGCGACTCCAGTTAGTGGAGGTTTGATAAATGAGGCTCAGTGAGAGGGAGCCCCATTCTTCTCTCTGAGTTCTGTCTCCTGGAATCGGTGATGAGCAGGAATGCAGTGGAGCCTGAACCATTCTCAGCAAAGCACTCCACTTCGCATTCTTTAAGACCTCTATCCAGCTCACTCCCCCTCCCCCGTCCTCCCCCTTTTCCTCACTCCATGAGATTTGGGCAGGTGCCGACATTAACGTAACGACAAACAGAGGTTGCAGGAGGTCCACCTGGCAACACAGGTGGATTTTCAAGGGTTAAATTCAGTGGTCAGCAGTGAGAGGAAGTGTGTGTGTGTGTGTGTGTGTGTGTGTGTGTGTGTGTGTGTGTGTGTGTGTGTGTGTCTGTGTGTGTGTGTGTGTGTGTGTGTGTGTGAAGCTCTTAGCCGCGACCTAGCTGCTGCCGCCGCCACCGCCGCCACCACCGCCACCGCCACCGCCTGGAGGTTTGAGGCAGTCCTCTGTCACGCCCTGAGAGGCCAGCTCAGACAGAACATTGTCCAGATAGTTGGGGTCGGGGTAGCCGTGGCCCGACAAGTTGGACATCATCTCTGTTTTGTGGTGGATGCCGTTCCACACCACCGTGTCGGGCTCGCCGGTGGTGCTGGAAGTTCCCACGGTGAAGATGAGGCGCCGCATCCACGCGACCTTCAGCAGCTCCAGTACCTGTTCAACAGAGAGAGACACGAACCTTTAGAGCCGAAACAATGAATCCATTAGTCCGAAAATGAACCAGCAACTGTTCTTAAAATTGATTTCAACCAGGTACGCTGACTCTCTGCAGTCAGTGGCGTGTACGGCTAACATTAGAAACACGCAAAGATCTAACTCGGCCAATAATTTAACCAAAATGCGATTATCTAACACCAGTTAATGACGACAGATAAGCTGCCTGACTGATAAGAATGAACTGTGTTTCTGATTTTAACCAGTAAAAAGACTCGCCATTCACTGCACAGTGGGACCGGCAGCGTCCACCAGGGCATCACACCAGGGACTCGAGGATGAGGCCTACGCGCAGATACACTACAGCTGGAATAATTTAATCCAGTTTTCCATTAGTGAATTACATCAGAGATTATTTATAGAGGCTGAAGTGTGCAGCTGCCGTCGCCAGCAAGCAGGAAAATGAGCTCCTAATTCACCATGGAAACAACACAACTTCATAATGAGCACAAAATGTTCTTAATTTAATCACAGTGAAACAGTACGATCCCGACGGAGCGCTACGCAGGGGTTGTGTGTTGGTAGTATCGAGCAGTAGGTGTCGGGTTGTTCTCTCCAGCTCCACTGGCGTTCTGCTGTGACTGAACTTATTGATAATCTGGGACCTGTGGTCGAGTATAGATGCTGATATCTGAGATGTGTTCACACTGTGTACATTGGAAGCGTCTGTAGGGCAGACTGCAGGCGTGTTGCTTTTTACCTTCCTGCCCTTGTCGTTGTCCGGTAGAAAACAGAAGCGCGGGAAGCCTCTACAGGTGTACGGCTGTCCCGGGTTGGGATGCTCCGGGCCCTGGTGGAGAAGGACAAAGACTGACTGATGAATGGAAACATATGAAGTTTAATATTAGGGATCAGTCGGTGCAATGGAATAATCTGATAACATGTTTTGAACAGTAGACCAACAGCTCGATACAAATCTGATTCAGGTTCCTGTAGTTTTAGGTGGGCACGGCCCTTTTCTGCAATTCATCTGCACCGGTGGTTACAGCAGGACACAGAAAGAAATTAGGGCTTTCCCAAAAGGCCGTAACAAAAGAGCGGGCGACGCTGCGAGGAGGAGAAATCTCTCCCACATTCGAGCCTGGACATCAATCTGTTATAAACCCTGAAAGAGCTTCAGTCTAGACTGCAGTCTCTCCTCCGGTCATTTATTATGTTCAGATTCCCCCTTTCAAACTTATCAAAAAAGGTACCTGGTACCGACCCCCGAACATGAAGTGACCTTGACGACACACCCGTTTCTGGAAAAAAAGGCTCCTTGAATAGATGGAAGACGTCAGACTGCTGGGGAAGTTTTCCCTGAGATACTATTAGTCCAAGACGACACGTACACAGGCGTATCGCCTCGATGATTTTCTTGGGCTGCTGGTTGCGTATTTCATTTTGCTCCTCGTCATGATGACATTGAGTAACACGGCTAATTGTTGATAAATGATGTGGTTTCCTGCGACAGTAAACACATCCGCAAGTGCTCGCCAACTCAAAGTTATTTCCTCCGTGGCAGCAAAACGTATTACACGAGCTGTCGGAAGCTCCTGCAGGTGAAGCTGGACTGACACTTTTAGGACTAACTCTAAAAAAATAAACAGGGAACTCGCCCCGCTTAGCAACAAGAGATTGTTATTTTAGTGAGTGACATTTTTCATCTGTTTTACTGACGGATGACGCTGCTTTGGTGCTTCTATTTTTGCCGTGCTGTGAGCCGAATTCCCCACGCAGGACAATAGAGACTGAACATTCAGGCTGCAGCAACCTGTAATGCTCTCTGTCAGGTGGGGTGGGGGGGTATATAATTGTCAAGTCCTTGAATATTATATTGTAGCAGTCCCTCATTCATTTGTATTTGCTGCCATTTCATTTGACCTTTGGTTTTGGCTCATGCTCCTCTGCGCTGATTACAGGATCATTCGGATCACCTGTTGCACAGCGTGTGGGGATTGACCCATCAACAGTGACTGAGAGCAGCTTGGCGATTCCCCTCTCGGCCAGTCAGGGTGTGACCACGCCCATTCTTAAAGGCATAAGAGAGGCGGCGAACTATGCGCCGAGGGCGTTCTGATCCTTCCTCAGATTAGTCCAGAACTCACTTGAGCAGACATTGCCACCCAGAAACTTAGAGCTATATTTGCAGTCTCTCTTGTTTCTAACTGGAAGTGATTCTGGGTGAACACAGACCCCCATTAGTACCTGTACCAGCGCAGTCTTTAGTGGTTTAGGAATTCATTATTATAGAAGAGGCATTTCTTCATTGTTGAAGTACTTGTCAGTTTTGTTCTCCAAAGTCTACTTTTTTTTTTTTTTAACGAGGTTTGAGAACTGGTTCTTGGGCTCCTTTCTCCTGAGCGGAGACCTGCGGAGTCAGAACCGCCACAGTAAGGCCCCGACTTTTTAAACACCTCTTTCCATAAATGAATAAAATTCATCGGATCTTTGGGTCAATGTGTCAATGTGACCACATCTCAAATTCAAATTTCCTGGGGACCGCTGGCCTGGTTGTTCTCCTGTAGGGAGGGGCCCAAACTCCAATGTTTGTTATCGAATCCATTTTTTTTTTTTTTTTAAGGTTCAAATTCTGCTCTGATTTTGCAGTCTTGGTAGAAAACAAATGATTACTGCAAAATGAAAGAAAAGACTAGGGAACAATCTAAATTAAGGTACAAAAAAATCCCAACGTGGGTTTGATTGAACAGCAGGTGGTGGCTCAGCGTGCAGGCGTACCTGTAAGCCAGGTGGTATGCTGTAGATGATCTGGATGGTGCCACAGTCCGGGTGGCCCGGCAGCGACTGGGCGATGCTGTAAATTTCCATCTTGCCTTTGGGCTGGGTGCCCGTCTTCTCTCCGTAGATTGTCTTACACGACGGGCACTGCAGGCTGCCGTCCTGAGGAGGAAAAACACAACCAGAGTGCCTTTTTAAACGGGAGCGATCAATACAAACCAGGTAAGTGCTGATCAAATTATTCATCGATCCGCTGATGAGACTTTTTGTTTTGTGTCCCCCCCCACCCTCCCTCACCAGGTCATTATACCTCTGGTCTCATCAGCCAGTAACCACTGAGGCTTGTATGTGTGGAAAGTGATATACTGTAGTTATTTGGTACTGAGTTTATATACGACACCTTACATTAATTCCGCTACAATAAAAAATAAATAAAAAAAACATTAGAACACATGTTATAGACAGAGAAAGCTTGGGGTTGTACGAGGAGTTGGTATGCTGAAAGTATTTCTTGCCAACCAGTAGCAGGGTGCAGTCATTTTCTGGATTCTTGTCAGTGAGGTTGGAAGTGGCTGTTTCCCTTCTGCTTCCAGTCTTTATGCTAAGCTAAGCTAATCGCCTCCTGACTGTAACCCCGTATTTAACTCACAGATTAATTTTTCATATTCCTTCAAGACAATTCCTCATTGGCGTTTGTCAAATTAAGGTTGCGGTCACATGGTACAGACTGTCACATCAATCTGTGCTGCATTACATCACATTGTAATGCTGCCAACAATTCGTCCACACAATAAAAAAACTACAGTCGGCATGCAGTATGTAACAGTTCGGTACCTTTGTTCCGTTGTTGTACATGGCCAGCATGCAGAGCATATGCAGGGTGTGTCCACACTTGATGAATTTCCCCACAGTGTCTGGGAGGATGCTCTGGCCCCCATCCTCTGTGGCGGGTGTCTCGTAGCCGGACGGATTGGACAGTTGATCCATGCAGATAATGCAGTCCTAAGAGAGGACGAGGGAATGTGTGTCACAATTACTAAAAAAAAAAACTGGGACTGTTTTCCCAGTTAAAGGCCAGCAGCACACACCCCCATATAAACAGTCTATCAAAATGCTGTGTTTTAAAAGTCTATTTATGTTGCACCTTACATGACATGCACCACAGACAGTGACCCTTATAAACTGTGATACATCTGCCTGTACAAAAGAGCACCAATAACTCTTTCCTTTAGTTTGTCTGAGAGGAAGGGGGGGAAAACCCAAACCCCCTGACCATGAGACATTTACCTCATCCGGTACACCGGCCACTACTTCCATGTAGCGCTGAATTACCTCCTCAGGTCTCTGAGCAGAGGCTAAAAGAAGGATAAAAGAGAAACCACAAAGTGATGAATGAGCAGAGACAGGCCAGACACTAAAACGGCGATTCCAACAAACCGCCAAACAAAAAGATGAGACTCTGGTGAGTTGAAATGAAATGATTTCCCCCTCACAATATCAAGTAATTTACTATCTCACTTTAGAATTTCACATGAGAACATTAGCCACATAAGATATGGGTTTCTGCCTCTGCTACATACAAGAAAGTCCGGGTTGATGCAAATCATAAAATCAGGAAATGGCCGCAGGATGCAAGAACATGCGAACACATTAAGCCACAGAGACAATCTGAGCGCACGATGACAGAATGAACCACGACAGGCAGCATGAGGGATGGACAGAGACACTTAGAGCATATCACTACCATTTCCTCTCACATACACACACGTGTGAGTGTCGAGTCTGTTTAGGAAATAAAATTCTGACAGCTATCTAGACGTTCATCTTCAAGTGTCTTTTTGAGTTTATTACACAAGACAGCTCCATTGAATTTCAGATTTACAAAAGGTTGGGAGGTTAGCTATTTTTCTCCCAGCTGAGAAATAAGAATAAATTCCCAGACATTAACGCTTTTTATGTCCTGTGTACTGATTTCAAGTTAAAAAGTGTCAGACAATGAGAGTGGAGGATGTGTAATTTATGGTCATGAGAATGCAGAGATGTGGGAGGGGGGGGGACCCAATCAGGCAGAAATAAAGAGGCCGCAATGAAATGAAGCTTAATATTTCAGTTGTGACACAGCAGTATTAACTTATCTATGAGCAAACCCATTTTAATATACACAGTTTGACAGTGAATGTGACGTATAATGGTTGATTTATGGTGGTTATTCTCCCATTTGAGAAGCTGGAGTCATCAACGTTTTGGCTTTTCTTTTGCTTTAAACTGACTCAAAATGATCAATTATCAAAACAGCTGCCAATTAATTTGCTGTCGAATGACTAACGCATTAAGTTCAGCAGCTCTATACTGCAGCAGTGGCTGCTGGGACGTGCGGCGACGTGACTGGCTGCAGATCAGCGAGGTCCTCTGCTCCAGAAGCACAGAGTGAGTGAGCATCCAGGCGATGATGTGTTGATATACAGATGGGTGACAGATCAAATCGAAACCCAACATAAAGTTGTCGTTACACCCTGAGCCTCCAGAACCACTTCAGTGCTCCTTGGCAAGACGTTCCCTCATTTAGTGGATCTATCTAGTATCCTGTACACAAGCGTCTGCATTTGTTATGTTTCTCCACTCGTTTATTCTGGCTTGTCTTTTAGTTTGTTACTCATCTGTATATACACCTGTGGCAAGACTTGAAATCCTGTCAAACATGGAAGATTTGTTCACTATGTTCCCACTATTTCACATTATTTGGACTCCCTGCTTAATTTTTTTTGTTAGAATGGGCACAGAGGAGGTTGGAAAGTGCAAAATCACATCTTTGAGAGCTGAAAACAAAAAAATGCAGGATTTTAAGCAGCACATAATGATGACAAGAACTGGAATGAAATTGGGAGGGAGGGAGAGAGGGAGGGAGGGAGGGGGTAGCAGCAGAGAGGTCAGTCATAGCTGAATCAGACATGCCAAAGGCAGTCTGATTTTTAAAGTCAGTTTAGAGCACATTGACTAGACTTATTCGACAGTTGCACAACAATCAGAAGAGAGAGCCATGTGAAAACACCCTATGAGCATGTGAAGACAAATGAAAGTGAGTTGATGCGGGATGAAGTGCTCCTCAAGCCTGTGCTGATGATAACTGGACCAAAAGAGAACGACTGAGAGAAAAAAAAAAGAGGTGGAGGAAGGGCTGGTGGCGTGGTAACTACCTCTCCTGTGCTGCCTCTTTGCTCTCCTAACTGAACTGCTGCTGCTGCTGCTGCTGCTGCTGCTGTGGGGCTTGCTGGGCCTGCTGGCTGGGGGGAGGAGAGGAGGAGGAAGAGAGAAAGGAGCAGGTTGCTGCTGCTGCTGCTGCTGTAGCTGTAGCTGCTGCTGCTGCTGTTGCTGCTGCTGCTGCTGCTGCTGCTGCTGAGGGAGGGGGGCAGTGGTGAAGTGCACGCCGAGTCCCACTGCTGACATCAAAATGGAGGCCATGCCTGGAGCAGGGTAGAGTGGGGTGGGGTGGGGTTGAGGTGGGGCAGGGCAGAGTGGAGCAGGTGAGGGGTTGAGAGTAAGTGGAGAAATGCAGGAGTAGAAAGGAACAAATCAAAAGGTATGAGAAATGTAGCAGCAACTGATGTTTCCACTGTGTCCCTCATTCACCCTCAACAGACACAGCAACAAGTACTTTGAAATTAAAACCAAACTGATCATGTTTAACATGTGGCCATGGTTTATTCACTGACTATGAACCAGAGTTCTCCTCTTGTGATTAATGAGTAAAGCTGTTTTTGCAATCAGGACTTCTGTTGTAAAGCTAGCATTAATCTCACGAGCCACGTGAAAACTGCAAGTTATCTTGGGAGTCTGGGAAAGATCGAGTGAGGATTGATGGTACCCAGAAGTTGCAAGTCAGACCAATCAATCAGCAGACTATAAGGAATGGTTTACACGGTGACAACCACAATCCTTGGGAACGGTTTGGCAGTGCAGATCTAAGATTTAGCACGATCATCTAAAGCAAGACTATGTACCTTCTAAGAAGTTGTTTTACAAATGAAAAGTTGAACTCATGAGCAATAAAGATACTTCCTCGACTTGGGCTACCCCATCTTTTGGCATTCACCTTGATCCCATGGCCCATTTCTCACCTTAGATTGGTGAGTTTACTTCAGTGGACAGTTTAGCTGAAACCTGACTAGGGCTGACCCCAAAGACCCCGAGTAGAATCGCATTTTGTCAGTCGAATCTCTGCTCTTTTTGGGTTTTTTTTTTAGCTGTGCCATTGTACACACAGTGACTGCATTGCAGGCTATAAACTTCACAAACTGAGTCTCAAAATGCTCACAAACCACAAAACTGAGATGAAGCAGAAAGGAGTGATAGTTAATGCGGGGCAGCGGCTGCTCCAAAGCGCTCTGCTCCAGCTAAACCAGAACCTTTTGAACCGGACAGTGGTACAACCTCCTCCACTGCTGCCCACTGTGACTGACTCTATGGCTGACAGCGCTGCAGCAGCCCGGCAGGAGAGATGCTCTGTGGTGCCCTGAAAGTTTAGAACTAAACTATGAGCAGTACGCACACTTTTAATTTCTCTGACTGTATGAAATCTGATGTTTTTTTTACATCGAAGATGATGAAGAAAAGCACTGAAACGTGAGGTTTAGGCTAAAACGTCAGACTTGTGTAAACACGTAAGGAACTGCTGATATAGGAGTTTAGTGTGGCCCTGAGCTAAAAAAAAAAAAAAAAAAGAAGGAACAAATAGTTTAAAATTTAGTACAGCCCTAAGCTTGACATTGTTCCCGGAATAGCTGCCATAGTTTCCTGTTGGAAAACAGGAAGCAAAACTCATTAATCTCAAACCTAACTCAAGAAAATACATATTGAACCGTCGCAGACTGAACAGGAAAAAGTCAAATTTGTGTTTTTGAACATACAAATTCTACTTCCAACAGTGATGGAGGTGGGAGTATTTATTGCATGTGTTCAACACTGAAACGGCAAAATAAACAGAGCCTAAGATATAAAGCTGATCACCAGTAATGTTCATTACTGACTAATGATCATTAAGACTGCACATTTAGAACAGACACCACATGAGTGACCTTCCATTTTAAACGATTCACCAAAGTCATGGTACGGTGCTTTTCAGTAATGAGGTTCTGGTCCTCTAGCTTCCTCCATGCTGATTGTATTGATTCAGTCAGCTTATCGCAGCCAAGAAACTGAGTTATAATTTGAGAAGTATGCAGCAGAAGAAGGAAAAAAACCTAAAACACAGTGAACGCTTACTTCGCATGTCAATTTTCCCTTTTTTTATGACAGTTACAACTTGCCTGCCTGCTATATCTCAGCCTGCTGACGTACAGTATTACACTACACTCTAAATCACATAACTGCAGGGGAAAATGAAAGCATTAAATACGCGACCATGCGTGTAAACTGCACATGTGAAATTCAATCAATGGTATTAGCATGAGTTATCCAAAAGCTGTTAATAAATATATTCAGCAGTCAAAGGGTTTCCATTAAGATTTTTTTTTTCTTTTTTAAACCTCAGTTCTCATTCCAGGAATTTGCCCATCATCTTGAGCCAATAAACTATTGATATAGATGTAGCTGATAAATATGCATACTTTGAACTACTGCGTTAGCTCTTCAAACAGCTCTACCTTATTACCACATTGTGGGGCTGAAGTTTTTTTTCATCAGATCTGACTGATATTTAAACATGATGAAATGACAAAAAAATGATTTTGCATTATGTTGACACTAGTGAGCCGGGCGCAATGAACAAGCAATGCATTATAAATAGCTTCTGTGGATGTTGAGTGCAGATTCTTTTCATTTCAAGACAGATTTGATTTTTCATTTTTTTGTGTTCTGCTGAATAATTTTCCTTTTATTGAGAAGAAGCCAAATATGGGAGAGCAGGAAGGCCGTATAAAAGCAACACAGACTGAATATATTAAAAAAGGTACAGGAGGATGCAAAAAAAAACCATATTGATGCATTTGTCAATAATCTTTGGATTTGAAATTTAGATTTTTCTGAACATTCAACAGCAATTATGGAAATTCACTGAGAGCCCCATATAGAGTCACGTCTCTTGAGCAGTATGCAAACTGTACCATGGCTTTCGGGGAAGCTCACTTTTCCTACTGTGGGTAGGGGGTGGACTGCATTCTGACTCCAAAATAGAGAAATGAATAACGGCGATTCGACGCGCAGACCGACTGGGACTAGGAAAGTTTATTATCTATATTTTCTGATCTGAAGTTAATAATACTGTGCTTGTTTAATCTTGTTTTATCTTTATTAAAGTGAATTAGTCATGAATCACCCTCATGCACAAATCATAAATTAATAGTTTACGCGTATGATGATCCATGATGATGAAGATTATAATTAATTAGAAATGCATGGCAAAAGTAGCATATTGTCAATATTGTCGACCCCCCCAAAAAAAATGTAATAATCACACAGTTAACACACATGAAACACATTAAACTTAATAAATCATGAGCTGCCGTTGGTGCCGGAAAACGTGGCTGGCTCATTTTTGCCATCGTAAGAAATTCTGTGCATTAACATTCAAATAATTTGTCGGATATGCAAATCATCTCAGTCAATGCATTCCACTCATGGGGGTGTGATGTATTAGTTATTAGTAGAAGTGCCATCTATAATGTTGCTTAGCCTTGAGCCATCATACAAAAATCAGCGTCAGGTGGGACAACAGCTGGCTCGCTGCAACGAGACTGAAAGCTGAAGTCGATCATGCTTTTGCATCCAGGTCCGAAGGCTTTGTGAGGAAACCTGCGTAGGCTCTCAATAAAAACTGTATGTAACAAACAGGATAACATCACTTTTGTTTCTTGTTGAATGGAAGCCTCTCTCTGGTGGTTTAAACAATAATAAAAAAAGGGACATCATTTTCCCCTCTCTTTACAAGTTTTGCTTAACGTTTGCGGTGTGTATTTTTTATTTCTAACCCCCTTCTTCCAGCTTTTTGTGGCATGCCGTTACCTTAACAGACTGACACTCACAGGACAAATGCACACAAAAAAAACAAGGAAACAGGAACTGCAAACACCATACTGAACGAAACCTGTAACCAACTCAAAAGTGTGTGTGCAGAATAGAACAGAGGTAACAGTCAGGATGGATGCTTAGTGACCCGTTTACCTGCCAGGGCAGAGCTTACACTGGTGGATCCGTTCAGCTGCACAGAGATGGAAGGAACACTGCAGGACAGGAAACAAGGACAGTGACATTCAGTCAGTAAAAACAGCAACAATGAACCAAGCAGGAAGAACAAAACAAAGACTTTGAATGATTTCGCTTTCCGATCCACTCCACAGAATTAAAACGTTCAGGTACGGTGACATTAGGGATAGTTCTGGCACCAGATCAAGACAAGAAAATAAAACCGGCCTGTGCATTAACTGCAAATGTTTATTTACCTTTACTTTAATAGCTGAAACACTAACCACTGTTGGACTGGCCAGTAAATGACTGAAGTTCTGACTGAGATTTATTAGCCTTACACCTTACAATCGATTGTTCATAGAGCAACTAGGGCGCGTGACTCAACTCCCAATATATTGACGAACATGAGCACAGCAAATCTGTTTACTGTGCGAAGCGGCGTTCTGGGAAAAGAAAGGAGTAATAGTCAGGACTGAAGTATGATGTTGCTCTAAACCAAATCCAGTTTAGGGCTGCAATTACAATTACTTCCTTTACCTGTTAATTACTTTTTTTGTAATTTGTAATGCAGTTCTATAAAATGGTAGAAAACTGAGAAATTCTGATCGCCATTTTTCACAGAGTTCAAAGTGACTTCTTCAAAGTGCTTGTTTCGTATGACAAGAGAGTCGAAAATGTAAAAATATGAATTTACAATAGTGTAAAAACTTTTAAGACTAAAATCTAGAAGATGGAAGCAGAAACTTTTTGGCATGATTTCTTAATAAATAACTTAAAATGGAAACTTTTTTCAACCCTATTTTCCCACGTTTGTGTGTCCAAGTGACTAACGGAGACAACCAGTTCCATTTTGCACGAGAGTGCTGCAGCCAGCAGCCGCGAAACAGACGACAATGTAATCCTTGTAATCCTCAATGTACATCCACTAATAGAGCTTGTTTTTAACATGTTAGTTCAGATCCAACACCAAAGTCACACAATAACACAAAACAAACTAACCGACCGAGGCAGCAGTAGAGCAACTCCTGTGTTCTGTTAGGTAAAATTACTGCTTTTGTCAACGGAGTGTGGTAGCTTTGGACAGAGCGACAGAACGGCTGTTTCTGATTGAACAAAAAGGATCTTAATCTTTAACAAAAACGTCTATCTCTGTACGGTCATTTTCAGAATGTTGTCACACTTATAATAACAATTTGAGCATATCAGTGGCACAAACAAGAACTTGTACATTGTACATCAGTTTACCAGCGTTCTCGTCCCCATAAGTCACATAGACATAAAAAGTCCAGGTTGATTCCTGCTTAGATTTTTGTCAATCGACTAATCAAATCCTCGACCATGTGTTTTGACACTCATCCTGTTTATCTCCATTTTTGTAGTCAGGGGAGTGTATGCTCTAATCATCAAGACAAGCGTATAACGACGTAAAGTGCTTGAAAAACAAAAAAATGCAGACGTGAAATAACAATCAAAAAACATAAAAATCAGTGTGTGGAACTTTGACCCTTATATATTGCTTGTCATCCAAATAAGAGCACACGGTAGAACAATAGGAGGAAATGGGTCGCTGACATAATGATGCCCTTTTGACATCAGCTAAGAAGCTGTGGGGTGAATGTCTGGAATCAAAATACCCCATAAAGGGATTCAACAGTAACCATATAAATAACCTGTAACAACATTTCAAATCCCTGTATAGAGTGAGTAGTGGTAAATAGTGGTAAGTGACCACTATTAAAAATCACATAGCCTTTCTTATTCTCTTGCTCTCTCTATTAGAAAATGAAGAAGATGAGTTCATAACACAGACCACAGTGTGTGCTACAGAGGGTGGAAAACATCCAGCATTTGCCTATCCTATTATTAATTTCCAGTGGCTGGGAATACACTAAATGAAACTTAATGTGGAAGAAAATTTGTGCCTTGAGGAAGTGTAAGTGAACTGCATATTCATTACACGAACTTGAGCCCTTCATTTTTGAAAGCAGTTTTTGTATGCCGTTAGGAACACAAGAGAATGAGGGCTGGAGATGACACAGACAAGGAGACACAGGAACTGAGCCAAAACAAACATGCCACTGCAGGGCTGGAGCTACAGACCATTTTTTGTCATTCCTGGTTTACAGAATAGGTCAAAGTGGAGACAAACAGGAAAGACAAAAGCGAAATGGAGGGGTGGGTGGAGAGGGGCCCCATGCCGTGCATCCCAGGACGACTAACTGAGTCAGAGGAACACCTTGCTGCTGCTGTTTTACTCCAACCTAACCATATGAAACTGCAAACCAAATCACAATCCAACACACACACACACACATAGATCAGATACCAACCTTAACCCGTTGGCACTGGTGGAGCTGGTCAGAAGCGGCGGGTGACTACCAGAGGGCGGTGGAGGCCAGGGGCTGCCCCAGGACATTCCCCCAACAGAGAGGGGTCTCCTAGGGTATGGCGAATAGACAGAAGTGGGGTGAGCTGCTACAGCCCTTCCCGGCCCTTGGAGGCTGGGCCGATTCAGACTGCCCGATGAAAAGGAATGGCGTGAACGGCTGGGCATGGGTCCTGTGCTGCTGTGGCTCAAACACTGCTGGCAGGAGCAGGCGGGGCCCGAGGGGATGGCTGGGGGGCCGGAGGAGGCCAGGGGGTAGGGGAGGTTACACTGCCGTCGGACCTGCCGTCTGAAACCCGTGGATTTGTTAACTTGGGCCAGAGATGTGAGATCCACTATGTAATTGTATCCATGCGGGCCCAAGTCTGCCGTGCCTTGCCGGGCCTGATAGCTGTGCTCCAAGAGGATAGAGGTTCGAGTCTCATACGGAGTCCATCCTCCTTCGTCGTTGGCCCATTCCCAGTAGACCCCACTGCCGAGGCCTGAGGACTGGGCGAACAGGGACCGACGTACTGAGCGTGTCTTTCCTGGAAGTAATAAAAAAAAAAAAGATGATTTTCTATGATTAAAGTGAATTAAAGCAACACTACGCAAGCTTTATATGCAACAAAAAAAATAAATCCCAAAGTGGGGTCATAACAGACAATAACTGTCACAGTCAGGACTGTAAACATCATGATCCCTAATGGCAGCCAGTGAAATGATTTGGATAATACTGTTTTTCTGGTTTAGTTTGAAAAGGCATTTTCCTAACATTGTGGCTGCTTCAAAACAACTGTCACTGTTACTTCACAAGCTCTGTCTGTCGCCCTTCACTCACACTGCTGAGCTCAAAGGAGCCAAACAATATGCTAATGTTGCAAGCGTCAGCAGTGTGACGAGTTAAAGGTTATATGTGGACACGTTAGCGAAAGTCAGAGGACAGAGAAATATTTAACAGAGTCGTAAAAAAGCTTAAAACTTTATCTTGGTGTGCTTGGCTCCTCTTGGCTTGTAGCTATGTAAACACTGATCAACACAACAGCGGCCCCGTAAGCTAATGCTAAGTAGGCCTGATAAACTGTGTAATATCGAGGCACAACATTAAAAAAACAAAACAAAACAAAAAAAAAAAAAAAAAAGGATTATGAATGTCACGTTACGTTACTGTGGACGTATTTCATGCCACGTCGCGTCACACTGTGCTCACCTGTGTCCTGGCGAAACTGTTTCAAGCTCGGTATGTCGATGAGATACGGCGACAGGCTGGGGTCTGATTGTCCGAGGCAGATGCTCGTTGAGCCGGGTCCTCCTCCTCTCTGTCCCCGCGGTGCCAGACACCGCTCGATGTAGGCGCTCACTTGGCCGCTGTAAGGCCGCCAATACCCCAGGTCATCCTGCCATTCCCACACCGCAATCATGGGCTGAGACTGTCCCACGGATCCGGAAGGCGTAGCGGACACAGACGGCCCATTTCTAGACCCGTTCACCCTGGCACAGGAGCCAGACACAATCGCCATATTCACCAGCTTGAGCTAACAACAGCTCGGCTCTGGTTAAGCTGGTCAAATGATTGTAGCTATACGACGAAGGGAGAGAGGGAGGAGGGGAGGGGGGGAAAAGCTGGGCTAGCTTGGTTCGTTAAAAAATACCATTGTAAATTTGTTAACACGCTTTTGATGAAGCTACCAAGTGTCGATCAATTGGTAGACAGCCCGGATAACCACTGAGGTGCATGTTGACAAAGCTGATGCATTCAGAGGGCTTAGCACTGTTAGCTTTGTGACAGCGTTGCCAGGGTTCCTTCCTCCTGTGCGGCTGCGTTCAGGGACCGCCGGGAATTTTCGCAATTCAAGGCACGTTTGTGGCAACCAACCATTAGATGGGAACTTTATAAGAAACAAAGGCAGCTCCCTCCTGGGGGTCTTTATGTGATAGGGATTTATAGTTGAGTTGTGTGTTAACACTGTATGATGATGTTTTGTTTCACATATATTCAACAGCTATACACCCTTTCACTTTTTTTTTATTAATTTTTTTTTTTTTTTTAAAGGAAGTGGCATTATTTCAGCTGGATAGTGACTGCTTATTATTAATCAGCAAAAAATATATTTAAAACAACAATTCCTGGCAAAAGCTCATCTAAAATGAGTAGCTTAAAAGATGCACCCATACATCCGTGAATGCACCTGAAGGTTGCAATTCTTCTTCTCTTGTCCATCCTCTGCTTCTTTCTCTGCTTCTGTATTTGAAGGAGATTAGAGCCCCCTCAACAGTAATGCTGCCCTCAACTGGAGATGAATGTGTATGGCACGAATAACAGTCTATATCCGTCTAATACTTCAGGCTGGTTGTTTAAATCATCATTAAATCCCATCTTCAGCTGTTCAACCAAAAATATATACTGAAGCGCAAGAGGCTGTAAAATGGAAATTATAATCTCTGTAGTTTTCTTGGTCACAGTCATCAACTAAGCCGACTTAAAATAAAGTATGTTTTTAATCAGTTATTACAGTCATCAGTTTTTACTCCTCAAAGCCAAAGCCGGTGACCTAAATATATACAAAGCAGGTTTAAACTAAATTTCATTCTGTCCACAATAGCCAGCACAAAAGATGCAACATGGGATTATAGGAAATACTCAAGATTACAATAAAGTGCGTTCTGATCTTTTTTTATATCCTGGGGGGATACTGGGGTTTTGTTTATCTGGAGGGTGTTCATTAAATTCACATAAAAGATAACAGAACTCGACAGCTCTGACACCAGTTTGGACATTGTTTGAATTACAGCCCTCGTGGGATTTGAGTTTATTCCATTTAACCCATAAACTGACACATAATCAATAGCTAAGTCCATATCAAGTTGACAAATGTAATAATAGGAACCTCTGGTTGTTGTTTTTATTGTATCGTATGTTGCAATATAAAGCTTACATTGTTCTATTCTGCTTTTGCAATATAATCAATATTCTACATATAATATACAATAAAAGGGAGAAAGAGCAACATGCATCCAATAATGGGATCCAAGCCCTATGTGAGTCAAATGATTAAACAATGAGAACATGAGACTATGTTACTATGTTAACACTGAAATGATCTCATACCACATGATGTATAGGCAGTGGAAACATTTTGTGTGTAATATTTGGCAAAGATTAGAGGTTCAGTTCGTCCAAATTACAAAAAGCAAACCAAGCATATTTTCCATTTACCTCTGGTATCCAGCCAGTCAGATAGAATTGGTTTTATCTGCCCGTGTTGTAAAATATTTGCTTCTGAGGTTTCACTACAATGAAGGTAAGTGGAATTTTGTTTGTGGTGTTCACAGCTCACGTTGAGAAATGAGTTCTAAAACATGTCCTGGTAATAATCTTCACAGCTCACTGTCACTAGGCTTCACAGGGACCATTTACTCTAATACTGAGGTAGGCAATCTGGGTTTTACTGTAGCTGTAGGTCATACACTTCTTTAAATTGAACAATTTTTAAACAAGTTGTCAGTGAGGGCTAGGAAGCCAAAACAGTGACAGATACACTATATGTGCAACAAGGTTATGATACTGTGAATCAGCTAAATCAGGAAGCAAGAGGATGTAGGATATGAAAGAATAATTCATAAGCAAAAAATGTTTATGTCTCCCTTCCAGCACACGAAATAAGAACCACAAATCTCTACACATATATCATTAATGTAATTAATTATGTGTAGTGATTATTAGAATTAGTATGGTCTCTTAAAGGAACAGTGTACACGATTTAGTGGAATTTAGTGGTAAAGTTATAGATTTCAACCAACAGAATACCGCTTGTCTTCCAAGCATTTAGAAGAAACTACAGCGGCCGGGAAACTCATAAAAAACACAAAAGGCCCTGTTTAGTTGTCCTTACTGGGTTACTGTAGAAACATGGCGGTTCAACATGGTGGACTCTGTAGAAGAGGACCTGTTTCTAAACAAGATAAAACAATAAGATAAAAACAGCTCATTCTAAGGTAACAAAAACACAATTTATTTTATACACTAATAAAAATATGCCTAATATTATTTTACATGTCTGCCAATAGATCCTCCACACACTGGACCTTTACTATATTTGATTCATGCTGTTCATCCTGACAAACATACTGACATATTTCACCTAATGACACACAATGGAAAAAGTCAAGTCCTTACCTTAAAATAAAGCAGCACCAGTCCTTGGTATGAACGGGTACATCAGATGTAGTTATTTACATCTCCTGGTGCATGGTTACCATATGCGAGAGTTGCATTCAAAAATGTTGAAAGGAGGTGAATGTATGGACACTGTTCACTTCTCCCATCTCTCTCCTGAAAGCATGCCACCTCCATCACTGTCATCACAGGCGTGATTTAATGCGGTTCAACAGTGAATGCGGTTCATGGATGTAGGAATCTGAGGAATGTGGAGAGTAGAGGTTGAGGAGTGCTTGGAGCTCTTCCCATTTTTACACCTGAGCACACCTGGCATAGTTGGAGTGACAAGTTTGGAAGGTACAAAAAATGAGGTGGTACAGACCTCGCCGGTGTCTAATAGGATCTCTATGGCTTTCAGAAGCAGCATGTTTGAAAAAGCATGTAGGTCTGTTCAGGTGAAACACCTTTATCATGAGAATGGGTTTACTGGATAGCTTTCCATGCCTCATTATGGGGAGAGATACCTTTTTCATACAGGACACACACATGGATCTAATATATAACTATATAAAAAGTATATTAAAAAAGTTGTATTTTGATTAATATTACTGCTACATTAATGTGTATGTAGCATTTTTACTGCTGTTGGGTAGTTTAATCCACAGCAAAGATCATATTCTATTAGATCATCATATGTCTGTTGCACCATTGTCCTGTGAGAACCATGTATCTCTAAAGTCAACTTTTCATGAGCGGAGAGGAACAGCCCTGTTATCATGTGCCGATGATTTTCCAGCTAATCCAAGGGGGTTTTTAAATAGTATATGTAGTTTAAGGAGTAGAGGAGTTTTCTCAATCCATAGAGCAACAACTAATCCTTCAGGTTATCACAAACATTCACATTTAAAATCCTGAAATTTAGACATATGTGGGTTACACTGGACAGGAAAGGTATGAAAAATTTAAATCTGAAAAGTAGCTATAGTCAGACAAATGTAGTGGAGTAAAAGGTTTGTCTCAGAGATGTTGTGAAGTTGAAGTATAAAGAAGCATAAAATGGAAATACTACGGCTCAGTTGATAATGATAATTTCCATCACTAGTCAGAGAATCTACAATGTAAAACACTACAGAAACACTGATGATTCAGTGTCACAGACTTGTCCTTATCCGACATTTCCTGAAGAAAATGACAATTGCAGCCACAGAGCAATGAAAAAATGTCTCCAATTTTCCACACCACAGTTCAAAACCCTGCATATATAGAGTCTCTGTGGTCAGGGTCCCTGCACTTTGAATAGTGTCAGTGACATGAATGAGCCCCACTGCATTCAAACTAAACCTATCATGGGCCAGGCTTATAAGACAAGGCGTTCCAGCTGAGGATGAAATAATGAAATATGTCCTCTCGGGGTGCCAGGTCCCCTGTGCGGCAGAAAGGGCCACGGCTGGCTGCAGAGTAGCAGAACAATCTCCATTAACCAGTGGCTCTTTGCCCACTTTGGGGCTATCAGTATCAATGAGAAGTCCTCTCCCTCTCTCTTGTTAGCTTGAATGAGTCTGGGTGTAAATGCCTAGAACAGAACCTGTGGCCACTCATGTGCTAGCACATCCATTCCCCATGGGACATTCTGGTCCCTCGGGAATAAAACATGTCGGGCACTGAACATTGTCCTTTTAGAGGAACAGGCTGACCTGCAACGGGCTGAAGCGAGCCTGTTTCCTGTTTTATTTTTTTTACTTACATTAACTCCTTTCAGACCACTTTATCTCCCACCCGTGTGTTTTTCCAGCCAGTTTGATTGTTGCCCCCGCCCCAGTAGATTTCACCTGTGTCTTGTTATTCTACCCTCACTAGAGTATTTAATGTGTGTGTTCTCAGTACTTTTGTGTCAACCAGTTCAGCACTTTGAGCTCTTTGTGACTAGTTTTTTCTATTTCCATGACTCTGCCTCCTGCCCTTCCCTTGTTGGGTTGTTTGCTTAACCCCCAATTGATCACTTGTGTAACAAACCTCCTTTATTGGCAAGTAAAGACGTAGTTTTGAACCTAAGACTCTGAGTCACGTATTTGAGTCCTGTCCTTTGTGGTCACCAGTCGTAACAGCCATGAAATGCAAACCTCAGAATTTTCAACAAGGGGGCGAGTTGTAGTATGAAAATATGTCCTTCAGATGTATTGTAGTGAATGAATTGTCAGGGCACATGGAATCGGACATTGTCTCCGTCATGCAACACATGGAGATCTGATGCCCCCTCAGGAATATACGGACCGCCTCCAGAGCCTCTGACATGCCAAGTTGCCAACAGCTGTTGTCAGCCTCATCAATCAAGAAAACATTGAATCCATCTCATCTCCTCAGCTTGAACAGGACGTAGCCAACTTGATGTCACACCTGAACAACTCCACAGTAGCTACACTGGCAGCCTTGTTTGACAGAGTAGTCTGTAGGGTGCTACGATGTGTTGGAGACTCTTAAAGGTAAAGCGGGAGTGGTGCCCATATGATCCAAGCCTCAAATTTTGCAACTGTGCTGACAGAATTTTGGGGGGTTTACAGTCAATATATACAGTGAATATATGACTATTCCTTCAATATATTGAAGGAATAAACTCCATCTTTTGAGTACCTCCATTATAGAATAGGTTTTGAAAAAGGCTTGAAAGGTGGCTCTGAAA